CAATACTTCCCTTAGCTCCCATATACTTAATATAAAGAATTTCGAACTTCCGGGTGACTTTGCGCCGCATATATCGGCCAATATGTGTGTTATCCCATTGAAAATAAGAAGGTGTGTTTTATTCATAAGAGTGTATTTTTGTGCCTAAAATAGATCAATTTTAGCGAAAACCTGGCCCAGCCCCTAAGTAACTAATATCAGGATTTTCGATCATCCGGCTGTCTTTTCTCTATATGATTGATTTTACACCTTAAAGTATTTCCCTGGTTTTAATTCTTGCAAGTTGCAAGAGTACAAAATGTTCGGTTGCACTCGAACTTAGCCCTTCCTTGCTTGTTACTTTTATTATCTAGATATCTTATGAAACAGAATTTACCTATTATGAGCGACAAAAGAGCGCTCGCGTGAACGCAGTCTTTCAGCAAAAGTCGCCCAACACTGATTTGAAGCATATGTGAGAACTGCTTGAGTTTTTTTTAATGGACGGAAATTATGCGCAAAGTGAAATGCGCGCCAAGCTGATTAATTACAAAGAAAGAGTATTTCAAGTGGTGCCAAGTATTACTTGAGGAAATTCACTTATATTATATAAATATTGTATAGCATTTGAGTATTTCGATTTTATAAAATATTCAGTTCTTATCTTCAATTTGAATTATAATTAACTTACAGCTCCTACAATTAAAAATATATGTTTGATGAAGTCGATTGTTCTAACGCTTTAATAATAGTCAATTATTTATATAACAAGCCAAATAAACTTAAGAAGAGATACAGTTGAAAATATTTTTGAAATATTTCACCTGTTTAAATTTTTTATATCAATAAAAAAATATCACAGCTTCTATAAAAAAAATTAATTATTTTTGAGAAAACTTTGTCTACGTTTATAATTTTTTTATCGTTAAACTGAATAGGATAAAAAGTCAAACATTTTATGTGTATGCTATATTTTGTATGCATTCAATTTAAGATCTCGACTTAAAATGCGCCAAGTCGTTTCATACGTCATTCCCATTCGCTGCGAACGGCGCCGAATCGACTATCCACATGGACGTGATATATTCGGCCGAATATTATCCAATAATGAATACAGAGTCTCAAGATGGTTGATTTTGTTAGGAATAGTACGCTCAATAGGTCGATTATGTTGACCAAAAGTTGTGCGAAGCGCACGATGGATTTAAAAACGTTGTTCAGGCGTTAGTCTTTACATAATGAAAAACCAAACAATATTGAACAAAAATGGCATGACAGTTTGATCCGACTCACGCGTGATCTGTAAAACAAAAAGGCTATTGAAACAAGAAAAAACATTAACTTCGGCTACACTGAAGCTAAATACCTTTCACAGGTACATTTATTTTAGTAACTATGTGTAAATCTAAAGTAACTGACCAGTGGCTTTCACTCAAAGGAAAACATTTGACTAATTCTTTTTAGCCGGGTTGTATGCTAGAAACATTAAGGTTATTTAATGAAGAAAATAGATCTTTTAGACGTTTATAGTTATTTAAAATTTTAAGAAGATTTATTATTAACGTAAACTTAATGGGAAAAAATTATAACATTCATATATT